CAGGTCGATTACTCTTGACATAAAGCAAAATGCCTGGAGTTTGGCAATATCCACTCTGCAGCCCTGAAAGCAGCATATTCTTGAATACCGGAGCAGCACTGCAGTAAATCGCCTCTTTATTTATTACAAGATTGCGTACAGAGGAGATAACAGCAGAGCTAATGAGACCGTGCATATATAGGAGTTACATTAGTAATTAGAAACAGCTAATTAACTCTGCTCCCTAATGAAATTAAATTCGTGCAGTAAAAGACATTTACAATAAAGCCAATACAAAACCTAAGTGTATTGGTTTCTAATTCCTTCACTGTGGTCAATGGAAGAGAGGCTGAGCTGAGCCCACAAGTGGGGTTTGTTCCAAGCAGATCCAAGTATGATGCGCAGTAAGTGGTGAGCAAAAGCACACAAAGCATATTCCCACAGACCAGTCCCACAACTTATTGTCTGCCATTCGCTCCATGAGCATCTCCTTAACATTGCTGTTCGGATGCTCTGTTAGTTCCTGTCTTTGAGTATGTCTTGGTTTTCCATGCACCAAGCTGAGGCCACAAATACTTTAGCTCTTGCATGCCTTGAGCAATCCATTCTGTTCCATCATGACCCTGCGATACAACAGGGGCTCCCAAATATCAATATGCACTGCATATTGACAAGGTTAATTTGCCCCTGTGCTAAGCACTCCTTGTTCAGAGCAGAGCAGCTAGGAAACTGTTTCAGTGGGTGCCTTCTTCTTTCTTGGTACGCTACACAGAAGAGTTTTCAATGCTCAACAGCATCTCTGGTGATGTTTGCATACTTAGACAGCAAATGTTTTGTGACACGGTCGCAGCCACCATGGCCAGTAGCCATATATGCTTTTTTGGTGATATCGCATGTGTCCTCAGTGTTCACATAATATTTGGGAGATTTCCTCTTTTGTCTGACTTCTCTCAATCCACTGCTCAGTGTCCCCACATTGTAGAATTTCATCTGTAAAATGAGGGCAAGTCGTTTATTCGCAGGAGTACTGCATATCTAAATGGGGAAAGTGTTGATACATTTAGAGTTAAAACAGAAAGAGGGGGTTCTCCATACTTACTTTGTAATTAGATGGAATCCATGTCTTGACTTTGACTTGGGGTTCTGTTTTGTCTTCTTTATTTCAGCAATAGTTGCAGATTACTGTGCCTTTGGGATCATGTACTTGGAGCATTTCTTATTCCTTTTGCATAGTTCTTCTTTAAATTTAACTTCAAAGTCCTGAGGCATCCTCAGGAATGATTACTTAGCAAGGAGAGAAATCTGATTCAGCTCCCTCCTTTTAAGTGCACCTGCTCTTGCACCAGTTTTTGCCTTACACTGAAGTCATTTTGTACAATTACCAAAATCTTCAGCCATTTCTCCAAATTACCCCCAGTTACTTCACAAAATGACAGAAAATGGTAGGCAGGTATGATGCAGAGTATCTCATCTCCAGCTTCTTGAACTTATTAGATTAAAAGACAACAGAAACAGATGGTTTATTTCCTTTTATTTCCCAAACCATTCAAAACCACACAGTAGGGCGCAGAGCAAACTGTGTATCATGTTCCCTAAAATAAGAACTCTTCCAAGGCCAACTTCACTTGTAAGCTTTGCAGCTGTTTTTCATGTTTTGTTCCATTAGATTGTTACCTGAAACACCCTTTTCCACTACAGCAATAGGCACAGTAGTTCACATTTTGTGGCATTTCACATTAGGCATTTCAGGTGATGACTGAGTAAAGAAGGCAGTTCAGTGCTGTGTTAAAATGGCCACTACTTTCTGAAATGTCTAAACCAGTCATTCTACGTGGCTGAAACAGTCATTTCATAGGAGAACTGCAATTTCCAACTTATTTTGTTGCTTTCTTCAAAATAGCCGCTCTCAGTGTCATCATAATATATGCAGATTGTCTGCTCTTTGGGTTTAAACTTCTGAAGTCCAGTTTAGCATAGAGACAGGTTTATCCTTGCAAGTTGAGTTCAACTTACAAACTGCTTTTCACTACTTCGTGACACTATTTCTAGTGTATAGACACATCTCATGTCCTGAGCAGATCCTGGTTCAGCTGCTTCTTCTGTAGCAGAGGATGGGAACTGCAGTCTGCCTCCATGTATGTGGTTTGCACCCATTTGTGTTTCTCTATATGCAGCCCTCAGACTGATGAGGCTCTCTGTTCTTTCCACAGGCATGATGGAAGGCTGTCCATCACAGGATTTTCAACCAATGCAGATCGAATCTGTGCTGTCCTTTCTTACTTTCTTCTCTTCTCCTGTGCTTTTGTAGCACCTGACTAGTGGAATCTCTGTCAGGCCTCACATCTGCTGAGGAAAAGCATTGGGAAGACAAAGCCCTATCTGCAATTCTTACACATCTCTGTTAGAGGGCATAGTGCCACCAGTAGTGCGTGCCTCCTCCTCATAGGCAGGTTGCTGTGTTTCTCTATGCTATAGACCTCTGAAGCAGGTGAGGGGCTGCGAGCTCTCTTCCATGAGTGCGCTTCCCTTGGAATGCAGCCCCACTGAGCACAAGTCTGGGTCTTGCTTCCCAGGTTCATATGAAACATGTGGAGATGCTCTTATATTTCTGTGCTAGCATCTGTCTTGCCTCTTTTGCTGGCATTAGGCATGTGACCCTTCCTGACCATGACCTGACCAACCCCATGGATGGGATCGCCCGTGGATTCAATGAGCCCCCAGATAACATTGACATCATTCACATCCATTTTTATTTAGAAGAAGCCCACTGTCTAGTATGTTTGTGATGCTGCGGTGCAGGCTGTTGCGAATGTGTACATTTCTACAAGAATTAAGCAAAGTGTGACTTTAGCACATTCATGAATAAGCTTGGTTGAGCTGGATGGTCAGGAGGTGCTGCTTGTAAACATCTGGTTTAGCTTTTGAAAGTCCTGCCAAACTTTAGATGCAAAATACTTTTAATTTGTATGCATTTCTGCATATTTCAGCACATAGTCATTTTGTTTGTTAGCAACTGTATTATGAGAGAAGGGTTGTAATAGAGCGTTACAAAGGTATGCAGTGCCTACAAAACACATGCAAACCCAGCGAGGCTGTTGGAGGAGGAAACAAAAAGGTGGTGTCATTTCTCATCTTCTCTCCTGCCACAAGGAAAAACTGATTTGTTCCTGTAGTTTTAGAACAAACCTGGATCAGAGTTTATTGCTTTCTCAATGACACGTAATTAACTAGTAATGAACTACGTATTCAGGTTGACTCCTTCCACGTTGTGGAAGTCTCTGTAGTTCACTGGGTACTGTTGACTCGGGCTGGTAGTTGTCATCTTCCTCTTTACTGTGATCCTTTAGGTGCAAATGCCTTCTCTTCCCCAGATCCACACACACGCCAGGCTCTCACATCTCTACCTTAACAGAGGTTGTGACCCAGGCTGTTTGCCGAGGGTGGGCCATGTGAGCACCCCCACATCCTACTTGTGTTACCGACTTCAGCGATTTCCACCTTTCGGTGTTATGTTACAGCATTGCTCAGGCTTTGACCTGAAAATACTTCCTCACGATCAGACCTCCTGAGAGATACAGAGGAGCTTGAAGCACGATGGAAGGCAGGGAAGAACGACTGTAAAGGAGATCAGATCCTGTGAAGTAACCATCTTGGTGGGACCAAAAACAACGAGCCCAGCAGTAAGATTGTACAGGTACAGCAAGATCAACCAGCCGTTATTGGGCTGCTGTCTGATGTGCAAGAGATGGTGAAGGTGGAGTAGAGAGGAATGGAAAGACGCAGAGATATGAAAAGGTGGACTCCAGCAGCACCATGAGGAAACACTCACAGGAAACAGACCAGCTGATGCCCTCTGCTTTGCCAAGTGATTAAAATACCATCCCTCTGACTCCAGATGAAAAACTGTGACCTTATACAGATGTGAAGAAGAAGAAAGATATACGAGCCATTGCTCTCCTGGGTTATAGCACTTAGAGATTTATACTCCATTTCTGGCATAGGGGTAAAGCAGCTGAGCTATGAATGCCTCAGTGTCTTTCACAGCATTGTTTTGCTGACTTTTTCCTCTTTTTTGGTGGAATTCAATTTTGTGCTCAGAGACGGCAACTGACAACGCCTCACTGGGACAGAACAAGCTTTTTAGCTTTTCCCATCCCTCCAATCCAAGCAGTAGCATTTTATTTCCACCAATACAGGGTATGAAGTTTTTAGAACTGATTTCAAGCTAAAGATACTGTGAGTAATTAGTTATAAACTTCAGGATTGCACAAAAGCAACATCAGGATAAAATAATCATTGTTACCTTGGAGACTCAAAATAGTTGACATTTTAAGAGACAATTGCTGTTGGAATGATCTAAATAAAATGATCTTCACTATTAAATATATATATACTTTAATGGAACAATTCTGTAAATAAAATACAGGCTTTTGCTTGAACTTACAGCGTTCATTCCCATAACGAAGTGTGATTTTTGGTGTTAGAGACATTTACATAGTGTGGAAAAAAGAACAAAACACTTTTCCATCTTTCCTGCTGCAGTGACGCCACCTCCAGAAGGTGATTTTGAGAAAATATTTTAAGAATTTACTATTTATTGCTGGTTTCTTTTAAATAATTCACTTAGAAGGTTACGCTTGCCTGTACAGTGAAGGAAGAGACTTGCTCAGGAGGAACAGCACCTTCCCTGGTATTTTATGAGAGCTTGAGGAGAATAAATAAGAAAAATACATATGGGAAATCATATAGACCTTTATGTTTCACAAATCTGCACTTTATTCCATAAATCCCTGCCTTTCTATTTGTGATTCTACATCCTTTGCAGATCTTCTTCAGTCTCTTTCTAGTGTCTTTGACTTTGCAAACCTTGATGTAAAAGCACTATGGCAGAAGAGCCCATGCCCTTTCCTCCCTCTCCCCCAGGTGCATCCACAACTGACCAGGTAGCACCATGAGGACATCCCAGAGGTAACCTTCCAGCTAAGGGACCGGAGGTGGTTCACCCCATGATTTCAGCAAGCGCATAGAGCCCTTCATGAGCGTGCTGCTCTGTTTCCAGGGCCCAACCTGACACGGTCAGGAGGGGTTTGCCATGCCTGTCAAACACCGGGCTCGCTGCAGGAGGTGGATGCTAGCAGCAGGACAGCCTGCTGAGGAGCATGACCACCTTTTGCTTGAAGGGGCGGCTTCCACTCAGCACGAAGAAGAGCAGGTCCAGGCAGCTGAGGGCAGTCAGGCTCAGAAAAACTTCGTTGTAGCTTTCTAACTGGTCAAAATCACTCATGTGCTCTATGTAGTAGGCCCTGAAGAGGTGATAGGGGAGGAAGCAGATGATGATGACGCAGATGAAAATCAGGTTTTTGACTTGGGCACAGAACTCTTGGTGGCACCAGAGGGAGGTGGAAAGTCTTCTGGACACTTTTACCAGGATGAAAATCTGCAAACCCAAGAGGATGCAGGTGATGCAACCGACGGCTGCAATAATGGCGTAGTTCAGGCCTTTCACGCTCACCTGCTGTAGCTCCCTGTGGAACTTGAAGCATATTGTTTCGTTGTATGAGCCTGAGCGTCCGTACTCCAAGCACAAGACCGGCACCACAAAAACCATGACAAAGACCCACATGGCGGCACTGGCCACAATGGCGTGCAGCTTCCTGTAAAACTCCACCTTGTCCTTCCATTGGAAGAAGACGAGCCACCGGATCACCAGCGTGACCACGTAGAACAGGAAGGTCAGGTACATGTGGATGTGCACCATTGCGCTCACTACTTTGCAAAGCGTCATCTTGAACACCCACTTCTTGTTGACGTAGTAGTGCAGGCGGAAGGGCACCGTGAAGAGGAGGAGGCTGTGCACGATGACCAGGTTAATGATGGCTGTAGTGGTCACAGACAGAGTGTTCATCTTGACCAGCACGAATGACATTGTGATGGACCCAATTCCACCCCCCGCAAAGGCAACTGAGTAGGCAGCAATCAGGATGGCACTCGTGGTGTTGGTGTGAGTGAAGGCAGAGGAGTCACTGCTGTTCCTGTTCTCTTCAATCATGTTCCTGAGATCTTCCTTGTACGTATTCTAGGAATGAAAGAATAAAGGCTGAGATAAGGTGGGATTGAGAGGGCCCATCTGAAAATCCAGCAGAGCTTTCCAACTGGATCTTCCTCAACGGATAATCCTGGAATCTCACAGCTGGTACAAGCTGCAACCGGTAGTTTTATCCAGCCTGGAGCAAAAATGGCTGAGAAGGCTGGGCAGAGAAGCTGCTCTAGTCCTTAAGACATTGCTAGCCGTACCCTTGAAACCAAGCAGGAGTTAGTAATGTGTAGAGAAAACAGATCCTCAGAGAAATGACATGACTGTGGTGGGTTTGATCTCCCTGTGTTGTTAGTTCTCTCTTCTGAGCATCTGCATGTTTTAAATATCTAATCTAAACTAATCTCAGATTTTTCTGCTACTCATTCATCAGTTTGTTTATTTGCAACACAAATCTGCCCTTCCCAGGGCCAGATAATAACCATATGCTGCTCTATCAAAGCTGCAGATTCTGTGGTGCTGAGAGCTGAGTTTTGCACACATTGGCAGTCAGCTCCTTCTCCATGGATAGTTTATCTGAGCAGGGGATTAAACATCGTGGGCACCCCAGGCTCCATGGCCATCCTGCTCAGGTCCTGCCAGACCGAGTAGCATGGGCTGTGCTGTCCTGGTGCTCAGGGACATTTCACATCTCATATGTGGTAATTGGGTGTTACAAAATGAGCTGTTAGAAAACGTTAGGAAAGGACATCCTGGGTTAGTGCAAATAAGCCTGCCTGGCCTGAGCCAGGGTCAGATGAGAGTTAATAGCAACTTCAGTAACTGTGCTATGTGTTTTTCATCTATCACTGCTTCAGAGAGGTATTAGATATGATTCTTATCATTCTAAATGTAACTTCTGGTAGGATTTTTAGGTACTGCAGGATCCTGTAGGAGAGGAAGGTTCAGGAAGGGTGTTATCCTGAAGCATGTTTGCATCTATGAAAGCATCTAGAGAATGTTCCCACTAGAGTCATGGCAAAGAAGCAGGGAAGACTGAACAGTGCTGTGCTCTGTACTGTGCAGTTATACTGCTGCTGCTACCTGAACTGGAACTTCAAACTGACTCCTCATGTCATCCACTTCACTGCTGAATCCCACCGCACAAGAGGGCTTTTCTCCTGAGTGAGGTTCTGCAGTCCTGCTTTTAATACTGCAGTGTTGTTGACTTCACAGAGTGGTTCCTCTCTCTGAGTGTGGTGTTTTGCTTGCTTTGGTTTTTAGGTGGCACATCCTGCCACAAGCTGGGAGGGGAAAGAAGTTCTTTAACAGTTCTCTCTTCTGTGGAAAAGAGGAAATGCCCGGAACAGGTTTATAAACCAGCTTTGATGGCAGCAGAGTGGCTGTGCACAACTTCAGCTTCCAGGCATCGCGCGTCCTGGTTCCGCCTTCAGATTTAAAACCCCTTGTTAAATTTTGCCTCTCCCTATAGATACCCAGAGATAAGTAGCAATAAGAGACCAAAGATACTTGTTTTCTCTCCATCCCTGTGGCTCCTCACTGAGCTGCCTCCATCAGCACTGTGCTCCTATTTGGTTCCTGGATGCATTCGGCAGTGGTAAAATCCATGTTGCTATTTTGCTCCTGACTTATCAACCCAGATCAGCCTGTCAGTGGATTGCTCCCTTCATTGCTTCCTATTTTCATCGGTCACCATTATGTTATATCAGTATTATATCAGCTTATTAAGAAAACCCCTCATTTGTCAAAACCAATGACACTGCTGCAATCCCTGCCAAACAGTGAGCTCTGTAACAAGCATCTGCAAATTGTATCACCAGTATACCTCTGCTGAGGGACTGGCAGTCCTCACACAGCTCTTTGTGTGTTCCAACAGTTGGGTTCTGCAGAAGCAGCGTTTGCAGCCTGCCTGCACCCAACGGAGATGTTTTGTAGGAATTTGGAGGGGAAAAGAAGTTCAATTCAAAGGAAAGATTCCTATTTTTGACAGCTTTAATAAAACAGAAAAATGAGGGTTTGTCAGAACCGACGTTTCTGCGTCCAACTACACTGGGTTGGAGGCAGGACCGAATAACAATGCCTGTTTTAAATGTGCGTTGTTTTCACACACCTCCCCGTTTAGTCTCAGAGATGCTTCCTGTTGAGGGCATTGTAACTGCTTTCGATTTGCTCTAATCCCATGCTGTGTTATGGTAATGGAGGCTGTGTCACTGGGATAACTGCAGAATTCACATTTAAACAACCCAACAACCCACACATCTGATATCTGGAGCGCAAACCTCTGCTCAGAGGAAAACATAAATTACAGATATGAAATACCACCTGTTGACTGGGTTGACAATATTGACGTTTTCAAGCAACTTTTAGTGATACCTCTACTTCATTCACTAGCTCGTTGCCCCACGTCTTGCAGGCTATCTCATCACTATACTGATGCTTTTTAGTTTAAATCTAATCTATTGAAGACAAATGGGGTGGAAAAACATGTGCAGTTGATTCTCTTTGGTTTGAGGTCTTGGCTGTTTTCACACAACGATGGAACCTTCCTAACAATAATTACTGACTGCCCTAGCTGTAAGTTATCAAAGAGAACAAACTTACCCTTCTGGTCTTTGCAGAGATTAGATAACATCAAACACACGCACAAAGATGGATGTAAACAACAGCAGTTGCCTCCCAATTTTAGGAGGCAGTGCAGAACTGCAGGATAGCAATATGAAAAAGGATGAAGCAATGTTTTCCCGTCCCAGGAAGTTACAAATACCAGTGATGAAAACAGAACAGCTTTAAAATGTGTTAGAAATAAAACAGCCGGACAATTGGATGCTTGCTTTTTCTCAAGGTGCAAACATGGTTTTAAAAGCCTTACAAGCCAAGGGGCTTGTTCATTCTATTTGTACTTACAGATTAGGGTTTCTCTTCACTCTTCAGGTGCTGGTGACTTGGCTCTTCATTTTACGGAGGCTCTAAGAACAAAAAGCAAAACACCTGATATTTTAAGGAGTCGTTGCTTTCTTTGAACCTATGGCAAAGCAACAACCATGAGCATCAGCTATGGCAGGGTAGGGCTGCCCATAAGCACACGGAGACTCAGGAGGATTTATGATTGCATCACAGGATCCCCTGATCTGCAGCCATTTCTTAGCCATAGGAGGTCTTCAAAGCCTCCCATTTCCGAACACTTGCATTCTTCTACTGCCTGAAATGATCAAGATACAAAGACACTCATTTGGAAAGGTCATTCCCCAGAATGGAGGGGATCATTTAAAAGTGTTTTGAGAAAACTGGGTAAGACAGGAGCAAAATATGTCTGTTGTAACTGACTGTGGGTTTGGATACGGTTAAAAGCGTAAGGGATGAAACAAAGCTCACCCTAAAGCCCAGCACTGTGTCTCAGCCCTGCTTTCTGCCAGGATTGTAGCTCAGCATCCAGCACCATTGCTACACCATTGCGTGGTGCTGGCAACATGGAACCAGGAGATTTTAGTAGAAAAGCCCCATTAGCCCTGTCAGTAAGCATCAGTGATGGTTGCTGTGCGGTGTGTGTGGTAAATGCTGTCTCACTGCAGGATTGAGTCTGTGTGAGGAGTCTGTGCTAGGTCACTTTTGCCCTCCTGCAGCTTAACTCCTTCCTGTCAGAACAGTATCATAGTTTTGAAGTCAATGGTATTAACATTCACCATTTACATGTAGTCTTATGTAAGGATGTTATAACTGACTACATCCTGTTGCTTCACATTCGGTTGAAGAAACACAAGGGACATACTGTTCTGTGGCTCTTCGCAACACACTCGTATGTGATGGCTTGTCTTTGCATTTTGCAATGTTAACAGTAGCTGACAGCTAAAGCACTGGGCAGATAACACTAAAAAGTGATCACGGTAGAAATACCTAGCTCTTACCTAGTAGCTTTCTGCAGTTGATCTTAAACCTCTGTTACAAGGCAAACATACCACTCTCCCCATGTTACAGCTAAAAAGCTGAAGCTTCTGTGGCAAAGCCAGGTATAAAGCTAATGTATCCTTAAATCAAGTCCTGTACCTTCTCAAGTCAGTCATGTTGTCTTGGCTTCTGTCTTAGCAGACAGGCAGTAAATAGTTTAAGTAACTTTTATCTGCTACCAACAAATCATACTTTTGACTCATATTTCTAACGTGCCTTACTGTTTCATGCACCCGAATAGAAAGATATTCATTATCTACAAGAGGAAAGATGTTCAGCATCAATTAGAGCCACAAACATTGCGTAGATTATAGGGTTCTTAAAATGTTTCTGGGTTCTGAAGCAGTTGTGATTTGGGGCTGTCACCCAGGCGGTGCAAGGCATCCTATGGGTGAGAAATACTGCCTGTGACACAGCTGGAAGGATGTTTTGGAGGAGTATAGGGGAAAAGGTGACCTGCATTTCCTTGTTTCACATGTCTTTGCACAGCAGAGATCCCAACTAAAGCTCCTCTGAAAAGCAGAAATAGATCTGCAGGTACATCCGTTTAACTAATTTAGGGGGAAAAAATCCCCACTTTGCAAGTTACAGTCTCCAGGCACTATTACTCGGAAGTACCTGAGGCAGAGTGCTGTGGAGGAAGCCTGTTTCCTCTTCAGTCTGATCTCACCACCTTTCCCTCCTTCAGAACACCAAAACTGCACCTCATTCCACACTGAAGTAGCGCGCATCAATAAAACCGCCTCAGATTCCCCTTCAGCTCCTGCCGTAATCCAGAGCTTTCAACAGAGAAGTGCTGCAAACAAACCCAAACCTCAACCCACATTAAAACCTGCTGCACTTCTTCCTTATTAGTGTGGGGAGGAGAGAGCATAAATCTAAACCCCAGTTGCTCTAACACGAACAATTCACCCAGCTTTCCCCATACCTACTTCTGTTTTCTACTGACACTCTGCTTTAGCCTCAGTGTTTGTCACTGGGGACGGGAGGGAGGAGCACTTAGAGCCATGTACAAAAGGCATCCATGCAAACTCCCATCTAAATGGACCTTTCTGGGAAGGTGTCTCTTTAACACTGCACACTTCAGCAGTCACCAACTTTACTGTTACCTTGTTCTGAGGGATTTCACCCGTTCGCCTCTGCCGCACGCCGGGAGGCTGTTCAGGATGTGCCTTTCATCAGGAATCCAGCACAGCAATTCACTCTTATTAGAGCTTGTTCTCACTAGGATAAAAAAATGGAGGGGGGGAGCTGACTGACAAGGAGATGCATTACTCCTGCCATAAGGATGACATTAGACTGCAGAGAATGAAATCATAGATGCAGTACCATGCCGATCCCATATGCATGTGTGGCTTTCTGAGAAGAGAAAGCCCTTCCCTTCACCTTGAAAAGTCAGTGATCATCCTAAAATCCATTTGAACTCTGGGCTAGCCTCTCACTAATTGCCTGCTGAGGCAGGTACTGTATTGTAAGGAAGAATATTGTATGTAATATATCAAACCTATTGCTACTCACCCTCAAAATGCTTACTGCAATTACTAATAGTGTTTTATTCCCAGGTTGTTTATTCCATTTGGTTGCTGACTGCAGAGATGATATAAACACTACCATTAGGTGTGTGGGAAAAATCGTTTTACTGATGACCACCTTCATGCTGAATATACACATACAGACACTGATGAAATTTAGTATGCTAAAATGTGCTGCCTCTGTTGGCAAAGGGACAAACCACCCCGCATTAGTGTAACAGTGTCTGCCTAAGAGCAGCAGAGAAAGCAAAGTAAAGTAATACCTGTACTGCTAGACTGATAATGAACATACCTTATATCCTAAGTATCAAAGATATCTATTTGCCATGTCAAATGCCCTGTTGAAATGCAGGTAGATGATATCCACGGTGCTGTCCTCATCCACTGAGCAAATTGTTTCATCATGGAAGGCATCACAGAATGGCTGATAAAGTGGTTGCTGGGTTTGGCTGTGAGAGAGTTAGTTTTCTTCCCAGCAGCTGGTGCAGGGCTGTGGTTTGGCTTTAGTGTGAGAACAACGCTGATAACACACTGATGGTTTAGTTGCTGCCAAGCAGCACTTACTCGAAATCAAGAACATTTTAGTTTCTCATGTTGTGCCAGTGACCAGATGGAAGAGAAGCCAGGAGGGAGCAGAGACAGGACACCTGACCCACACCAGCCAAAGGGGTATTCCAAACCATGGCACGTAATTCCATGGTACAGAAGCTGGAGAGGATTGGTCAGAAGCCACTGACCACTGCTCAGGGACAGGCTGGGCATGGGTCAGCAGGTAGTGAGCAATTGCACTGTGCATCGCTTGCATTTCTATCCATGATACCTGTGTCACACTAAGGCTAAGCAGCATCTCCACTAATTGCTGGGACATGAAACTTAGGGAGGTCCAGCCGCAGTGTGTGTGTGCAGCAGTCTGCTACAGGAGGGTCCTCTGCCTCAACTGGTATCATACACAACATCTGCACCCTGTTTCTTCTCTTCAAGATGCTCTACAGCCCCAGCTTTGTGTTTTAAAGCTACTGCCAGTTTCAGAATGAGAGTTATGAACAGCTTCTGTTCCCAAAGACACCTTAAGGTAAGGATAAAGGATAAGGTCAGGATAAAGGATAAAGTAAGGTTACTTACTGAGGGTCAGCTGGATGTCATAACAATGTTATCCATACATTAATCTATACATAACAGTAACAGGGCTCCAGATTTTTTATCCAGTTATTGGCATTGCTGGCTTTTCCACTTCCAAAATGGTGAGCAGAATCTTCTCAGACTCCAGCTGCTTCTGACAATCTACTTGAAAGGCCTGTTGCTTTACATACCAAAATGTAGTGCAACCCTATGGCATATAATCGTGCAATCAAATCATATAATCAAAGCAAGGCAAAAGAGACCTCACTCTTTCAACTGCTCTGAGCATCACTTTCAAATAATATGTGATCTGTGCAGTAGTTCTCTAAGAAAGATGAGTCTGTGTTTGGCTCATCAGCTGAAGAGCAGTAAATACTAAGTGTACTCAAAGAAGTGATGCCTTTCCATGGGTGCTAAGAACACTGGGGTGGTTTATGCTCTTACGTAGTAAGATGTTCCTGCGCAGCAGCAAGTGTGTGGAGAGTTATTGTGGAGTA